CCAGAGAGGCCGGCGCAGCCGTACCTTGCACGTGCAGACAGCACACTTAATTAAGCCAAAGGGGGGCACGACGGGGTGCCACTGGGTACCCGCTGCCCGCCAGCTCCGGTCACCATCAAAATAGCAGCCTGGTGGGGGACAGTGCCCAGCCTCTATTAGTACTGAGCTCTCTGGCTGGGCCCACAACCAAGGCTTGAGCCTCAGGCCAGACCCACGCTAGCCTAGCCCCAGGGCCTGGTGAGACACTAACACTAGAGCCCTCTGAGGAGGGTCGCTGGAGACTGTGCCTCTCAACCCACCCCATGTATTCTCTCCCCGCTGTCCCCTCCTGGTCCAAACCAATGGCTCCTCTGGGTCCCTCCCCCCAAACCCTGCACGCACCCTTCCACCTCACCCTCTCCTGGGTCCCCGCTCCTCTGCAGACCTGGCAGGTCTGGAACCTCTTGCTTCTCTGTAGAGCCAAAGAAAGAGTGACGGCAGAGGGTGAGTCCCCACCCCTCGCTCCCTAGAGCGCCCATCCCCACTGGGCTGTCCGCCCCCTACCTCCTGCCGGGAGAGCTCACCAGGGCACACGGGGCAGCACTGATCTGGAGCCTGCACAGGGCGCGGGCAGCGGGGCAGCGGGCACACCACGGGGTCACAGATCACTGTCCGTCTCTGCAGGAAGGGCTGGGACGTCGGCAAAGTGCCGGGCCTGGCCCCACCCCGGCTCCGCCCGCTGCTCCCTTACAAAACCTCCTACCTGGCAGGTGCAGAGCGAGCAGAGCGGGTCGTAGTTGGGCGCCCAGCGAGTCCCATGGGGGCGCTGCTGCCCCTCGAAGAAGCACGTGTTGGGGTCTCGGGACCGCCCAGGGCCGCTGGGTTTGGCGGGCACTGGGGCCTCCGGGCCCGTCACAGCGGGCAGCGCCGGGAACGCGGCCGCCGCTGCATTCGAAGCCCCTGGCGCCCGCGCGCGTTCGGCCCCTGCAGCCCCCAGGCGCAGGCCGCCCACCTCGCATTGGTTGTCGAGGCGCACCTGGGATCAGAGGCCGAGTGAGGCAGCTCCGGAGCTCCCCCTCGCGTCTCCGCCAGGGGCGGTCAGCCAGCCCAGGGGACACCCCTCGGCCCCTGCGCGCTGCGTGCCCCGGGAGGACGCTGTGGGCTCCCGCAATCCCCCCAGCTGCGGGAGACCAGTGGCAGCCAGTTTTTCAGTGTGCCTTGTCTGGGTTCACCCTCTCCCCAAAACACAGGGTCCATGTCACCACCACCAGGGCTCCCAGAGAGCAAGTGACTAATACCAACCCAAGCCTGCACACCCCCACCCCCACGCCCACCTACCTGGCCCCGGAGCTCCCCTCTGGGGCTGCCCTTGGTGCTGATCAGCAGGGAGGCAGTGCCCTGGGCCAGGCGCTGCAGCAACTCGGGCTCCAAGTCCTTCACCACACCTTGGGCCTGCCAGTAGACAGGACCGGGGTGGGAGCAGGCACGTTAGGGCTGGGCCTCCCGCTGGGGATCCCCAGATGAAGCCAGGACCCAGGAAGGCTATATAAACAGGGTCTCCAGGTATCGAAGCCCAGTGGCGATGGCGTGGAGCCTGGAAGCCAGGTCTCCCTGACTCGAAGCTCATGGCAACCCACTTCACCCACTTCAGGGGACTCTGTCCACCCCACTCCCCTCGGGAGGTCCAGGACATTACACACTACCCGGGGCAGGCCACGAAGAGGGGCACACACAGACAATTTAATCAGAGCCGAGCGAGGCTCACACCCAGGTCTAACGCCCGAGCCCGGGCCACCTCTGCACGACCACTGCCTGCTCTCTGCCCTACCCTTGGCCCAGACAGCTCTTCAAGCTAAAATGAAGATACTTCTCCAAGTTTCCTCTCACGACCACTCCTTACCTCTGGGCCATAGAATCCCTTCAGCAGCCGCCGCGGCCCTGGCATCCCAGGAGGCCCGAGGAGGTGGGCAGTGACAGTGCCCTGTTCTGAGCCTCCAAGTCCAGCCAGCAGCACTTCATAGTGCAGGTGACAGTGGGTGTCCAGGGACAACCAGGCGTGCCCTGCTGCCTGGCTCCGCACAGGGGGCAGCACCAGGGCTCCAGCCAGGGGCACGGGCAGTGCTGGGTCCAGACAGAGGAGAGGTGACAGATGAGAACATGCCCCAGAGCCCCCGCAGGCTGGCATGCCCCGTCTCTCCCGCCCCTCTCTCCGGCCTGGGGAGTGACAACATGGCCACGGGGGGGTGGCACACAGGCACAGAGGGACTCGCCCGGCTCTGGCCCTCGGCACCATCCCTCACATGCTGAGTCACACACAGGTTAGAGGACGCCGAAGGGCAGGCAGACCAGGGGCACTCACTCTCATGGCGGGCACTGTGCCCACTGTAAGGCAGGGCAGCCACCTGCCCCCGCAGCTCTCCGTCTGGGAAGTCCTTGGTGCCCACGTTCAGGAACAGCTCGTTCTGTAGCAGCATATGGGCCCCCCGGGCACCCAGCCCAGGGCAGACACCCGCAGCCTGCAGGGTGGAGAAGGGTGAGCCCTTCTCAGCTTTCCCAGGGAAGCACCCGGAAGCCTTTCCACGTGCTGTGGCCACCACACCCAGGTACACTTCCACACACTGGTAAATGGGTCCAAAACTTACAAGCCCAGTTTTAAGCCCTCTTCTGCTTCTTCCTAGCCTTCTTTTTTTTTTTTTTTTTAAGAGGGTGCATGTGCTCGCCGGAGAGTCACAGAGAGAAAGTGATAAATCACCCCTCAGGAGGGATGGTCACACCGCAATCCCTTCTCCTCTCTGGATCTTGGGCACACACGCACACGTGCCCAGCATGAGTTCCAAGCCAGCAGGTCCAGGACTCGAACCACAGCTGACCATGTGGGAGTGCAGTGCCCTAAGCACTTGCTGGCCCTAACCACTTGCTGGCCCCTGCGTAACAACCTTGAAGAGTTCCTTCACCTCTTTTGCCTTCACTTCTTCATCTATAAAATGGATACTGTGAAGGCCAAGAAATATACAAGCAGGGCAATAAACAGCGTAGTCTTGGCACACAGAAAGGCCAGTGGGCGGCAGCTATGGCTCCGCATTTATGGATACACGGGGGATTGTGCTAATCTCACAAACTCCTCCCACTCGATTGTGAGCTTGTGAGGGCAGAGGCCACACCAATGTTCTCGGTAGTCCAGTCCCTGCCTGGGCCTTACTCAAAAGGTAGCGAATGCATGAGCGAGCGGAGGAGAAAGTCCACATGCACACGAATGGTGTGGACCTCCCTGCCCGTCCAGCCTGGCCTCCCACAGCCCACACCCCGGTAGCCCTAGCACTTGGGCCCTGTGGCCCAGCTCTCTGGAAGCCTCACCATGTGCCCTCCAGACTGGGGTCCAGCCATGTGGCACAGGACGGTGCGCTGGTTCCTCCGCTGAGGCTTGGTCTCCAGTGTCATGGCCACCACCTCGCTGCCTGTGCCTACCACCTGCACCTGGTGGGCAGAGTGGGGGAGGACACACGGGAGTGGCAGCCAAGGCCTGGAGCTGAGCTTCTGCAGGCCAAGGCCCCGTCCCTGCCCTCGTGCACCTGCAGCCCAGCTCTTACCCTGTAGACCAGGGAGCCGTTTCCAAGCAGTCCGAGGCTGGCTGAGCCGGCCGCACCCGTCTGGACTGGAGTCAGGGCATCGGCCCCACAAAGGACACTTTGCAGGACTGTGGGGGCATGAGCCAGGAGGTGGCAGGCTCAGCTCATGGTCATTCCTACCCCCAGTGCCGAGGACCCACCTCATACCCACCCTGGCCCTCGTTTGGACAAGGCCCCACCCCACCTCACCATCACAGTTCTGCCTGGCAGCGATGTGCCCACTGATCCGCAGCCCTGGCCCGCCTGTCTTCTCCAGGGCCATCTGCAGCTCCCCCCGCACCAGCCAGTCCATCTCCTGGACGGTCAGGTTGGGCAGCACCTCGGCAAAGCCTGGCTCCTGGTGACAGAGCAGGGCGTGGTAGGCAGCACAGAGAGGACAGAGCAGGTGGCAGCCAGAGCCAGAGCCTCACTCACCTGGGTGGACGCGTTGGCCTGGAGCTCTCGCAGTAACTGCCCCTGGTGTAGAATCTGGAGCCTCACGGGGCTCTGGGCCAGGCCTGCGGCACCACACGTGGACGTTTCTGGGCGGCAGTGCCCTCCCACCCTTCCCACAGGCTGTTGCCCATCCCACTTACCCCCATGCCTGGGTCCTAGCAGCCCCCGGGAGAGCAGCAGAAAGTGCAAGGAGTCCTCCGTGTCGCTGAGTGCGAGTAGGGCAATCCCCCCTACGCCCTGCTGTGGGGGCCCCTCCGGGGTCAGGATGGCACTGAAGGTCTCTGGGGACAGAGGACCATGAGGGGCCCTCAGAAAATGCCCTCCTCGTCCCACCCTATTTCTGCAGTTAGACAGAAACGTCGCGTCCAGGAACTGTTGACCCTCTTTACCTGCAGCCAAGGCCCGGTGCCGGATGAGAGGCCCCCAGACCTCTCCTGCAGGGTGAGTGGGTGTCACTAGTGCCACATGCAGCTGTCCCGACCGCAGGAGCCTCAGAGACAACCGAGGCACTGCCCGCCACACCCCACAGACCTGGAGCAGAGACGAGAAGGCCCCACACTCAGCATGCAGGGCAGGCCAGCTAAGAGCCAGCTGAGGAAGGACTGGGAAGGGGCCCTTAGGTCAGCTGCCTGAGTTCAAGTCCTGCCCTAGGCTCGGCAGCTAGATGACCTGGAAGAGACCACACCCCCCTGCTGAGTGTCAGTGTCCATGCCCTCCTCCCACTGGGCTGTCGTGAGAACCGGATGGGACAGCCCAGAGCATGCCCCAGCACGGTGGCCAGCCTGAATGAGAGGTCATAAATGGCGTCGTCTCACCAGGCCGTCTTGGGTGGGGGCTGCAGGGTGTTCAAACAGGACGCTGCCGGTGGAGTCCGAAAAGCGGACCCTGGTGGGGCGGTCCAGCCTGAGGATGAGAGGCCGAGAGGGAGACTCGGACCCTGGCCAGAAGCAGCCCCTCCCAGCCTCTGTTCTCGCCCCGCCCAGCCCCAGCTGCCTCCCCCTGCTCCTGCCTCTTTCTCACCACCGGTAGGAGACGGAGAAGCGGAGGCTCGAGCGCAGCAGCGAGACCCGGGCCCGCGCCACCGCCTGCGACCTCGGCCCTGTCAGCAGCGCCACAAAGTCTGCGCGGGAAGGACGACGGCCTGAGCACTGTCAGCGCCACTGGCGGCCCGACCCTGACCACGACCCCAGCCCGGCCCCCGCCTACCCGTGTGGCCGTCACGCGCCCGCTCCTCCGTGCCTGGCTCCCCGCGGTCGCTGTAGCTGCGGTGCTCAGGGTCCCGCGGATACTCGAAGGACAGGCCCGACGGCGGCCGCTCCGGACCGCTGCGCTCTGCGCAGGAGGGTGGGAGGCACGGACTTCAGCCCGCCCCAAGCCCAGCGGCCCGGGACCGAGTAAGGAGGCCCGGCCGCCCTTCCCTGACAGCGGGGCGGGCCTTACCCTGGGGGCAGGTCTGGCAGCAGTGTCCAGGCAGCTGGCGCGGCTGCCCGCAGGCCAGGGGTGGGCACTCGGGCTTGATGTTCTTGCAGCTGACCCTTCCGGGGCCCCTCCCACGGCGACCCCACTGAGGCTGCTCGCCCAGAAGACAGGACACCCAGGGGGTCCCCGTGAGTCCCCGCGCCCGCCGGTGAGACCCCAACGCGAGAGCGAGGAGTCCGGACCGCGTCGTCACCCCCCGCTGCCACTCACAAGCTGCCTGACCCTCGTCGAGTTACTAGCCGCTCTGAGCCTTGGGGTCCCTATCTGGAAAGTGGGGTTAATCATCCTACCCATCTAGCAGGGCTGTAACGGGGGTCAGGTGAACGACCGCCGAGACAGAACGCACGAGCCGGACGCCGCGGCCATCGGTAACAGCAAACACCCGAGCCCAGAAGGGACCAGCCCCTGTCCCTGCCAGAACGATGCTTCTTTCTCCCGGCTCCGACGCCCCAGGACCCCTACGCCGCCCCCACACCGCCCCCGCGAGGGCCCGCGCGGCCCCAGGTCCACTCACCGCCTCGCAGACGCACAGCACGCAGTGCATCACCCCGAAGGGCTCCCCCAGGTCGGGGTGCCACGTCTGGTCCAGGGCATAGACCTTCCCGCCGAATGGACAGCCTGCGGGAACAGGC